CAGTCAGGGATGCTAGCTGAGCATGTATAGAAGTTAGCTTCTCGTCACTCCGAGAGAAAAGCGACTTGAGGTAGCCTTTCTGTCTCTCCAGCACCGCATCTGCCATTGCGTCCATATCGGCATGTTGAGTTTTGTTCTTGTTTGCCATTCTGCTTCAAATGATACAAAGTGATAAAAATATCAGTGGCGGAACCATAAAAAACAACTATTTGGCGGGGTTAGGCCAAGAGCTAAAACCCTAAGCCGCCATCTCTGTCGAGCTGATCACGTATTTTGATTGTTTGATATTTTAGTAATTGTTTTGTTTTTACATTTGACACTGATTTTATTTTTTTATTTATATTTTTTATTTTATTATTATTTTTTAATCAATTATTCAATCAATCAATTATCAATTATTTTAAAAAATAGTTTTTTGTCTATTAATACACACACACACACGCTTACTGTTTTATTTATTTATTTAATTAAATTTTTTAACACACACACACACTTACTGTTTTGTTTATTTATTTTATTTTTAATTTTTTTTTTAACACACACACGCTTACTGTTTTATTTATTTTTTTATTTTTTTAACACACAGACACACACACAAACACGCACACGCTTACTGTTTTATTTATTTATTTTATTAAATTTTTTTAACACACAGACACAAACACACAAACGCTTACTGTTTTATTTATTTATTTAATTTAAATTTTTAATATTTCTTCTTTTTTTTTTATACAAACACATACGCTTTGATTACTTTACGCTTTAATTACTTGTTTAATGAAATGTATGGGGTTGATTGTTCTTATGTTGTATGTATGATGCTTTGGCAATGTTGTTGTTACACATTGATGCCAATAAAGCTAATTTGAATTGAATTGAATTGAAATTGATGGAGAGAGAGATAGAGGGAGGGACAGAGAGGAAGAGAGAGAGAGGGACAGAGAGTAAGAGAGAAAGAGCGAGAGAGAGAGAGAGAGAGAGAGAGGGGGGAGGGAGGCAGCCTACACAATATACACACAGAGGTACAGACAGTAAAGGTGATGTTGCTATAGACTAAATGAAAAATGGAACAGAAATTTATAGTAGTGTTAATGATAATAATTGTAATGTAAATGATTATAATAACAATAAGACTAGTAACAATAGTTGTAGCAGAGGGTGTCGAGCAGGAACACGGGGGCAGCAGGTGACTCGCAACCACAGATTCAGACTGCACAGCTCCAGAGCCAGAAACACCTGCAGGAAGTGACAGAAGGAGAGGGGAGAAGTCGAGTTAGTAACATGCATTAATGAGATGAGGTTGCATACAGAAGGAGAGAAAGTAGAGGAGAGAGGAGCTCCCCCGGCAGTCTAGGCCTATACTAGCATAACTAAGGGATGGTTCAGGACTCACCTGAGCCAGCCCTAACTATAAATTTTATCAAAGAGGAAAGTCTTAATCCTACTCTTAAATGTGGAGATGGTGTCTGCCTCCTGAACCCAAACTGGAACCTGGTTCCACAGGAGAGGAGCTTGAAAGCTGAACGCTCTGGCTCCTAGTCTACTTTTGGAGACTCTAGGAACCACAAGTAACCCTGCATTCTGGGAGCGCAGTGCTCTGGTGGGGTAGTACGTTACTATGAGCTCTTTAAGATAAGATGGTGCCTGACCATTAAGAGCTTTGTAGGTAAGAAGAATGATTTTAAATTCTATTCTGGATTTTACTGGAAGCCAATGCAAAGAAGCTACAGGAGAAATATGATCTCTTTTCCTGGTTCCTGTCAGAACACGTGCTGCGGCATTCGGGATCAGCTGAAGAGTCTTAATGGACTGATAATAAGGAATTGCAGTAATCCAGCCTAGAAGTAACAAATGCATGGACTAGTTTTTCTGCATCATTTTTAGACAGAATGTTTCTGATTTTCGCAATATTATGTAGGTGAAAAAAGGCATAAAATTTGCTTAATGTCAGACTTAAACGACATGTCCTGATCAAAGATAACTCCAAGATTCCTCACAGTGGTGCTGGAGGCCAGGGCGATGCCATCAAGAGAAACTATATCTTTAGATAATGCTTCACGGAGGTGCTTGGGCCCCAGAACAATAACTTCAGTTTTATCTGAGTTTAACATTAGAAAATTACAAGTCATCCAGGTTTTAACATCCTGAAGGCACATTTGAAGTTTAGCTAACTGATTAGTTTCATCTGGCTTGATCGATAGATATAACTGAGTATCATCTGCATAACAGTTAAAGTTTATGGAATATTTCCTGATAATATTGCCTAAAGGAAGCATATATAAAGTGAACAGGATTGGTCCGAGGACAGATCCTTGTGGAACTCCATGACTAACTTTGGCGTGCATGGAGGACTCATCGTTAACATGTACAAACTGAAATCGATCTGATAAATAGGACTTAAACCAGCTTAGAGCTGTTCCAGTCTCTGTAATAGGATCTGATGGTCAATGGTATCAAATGCAGCACTAAGATCTAATAAAACCAGTACAGAGACAAGTCCTTTGACTGATGCAATTAGGAGGTCATTAGTAATTTCACCAGTGCTGTCTCTGTGCTATGATGAGCTCTAAATCCTGACTGAAAATCCTCAAATAAACTATTGCTATGTAGAAGGTCACACAGCTGTTTAGTGACTGCTTTCTCCAGAACCTTAGAGAGAAATGGAAGGTTAGATATAGGTCTATAGTTGGCTAAAACATCTGGATCAAGGTTGGGCTTTTTCAGAAGAGGTTTAATTACAGCTACTTTAAAGTACTGTGGTACATAGCCTGTTGATAAAGATAGATTGATCATATCTAGTATAGAAGTGCTGACTGCTTATGTTCTCCCTCTCTCTCTCCGCTCCTGAGCCCAGCTGACGATCCATACCTGCACCTCATCAGCAGCCTCCTCTGCCTGCTACACCTGCCAGGAATCAACTCCATCCCTGCCAGTATATCAACCACGGTTCCACACAATCTCCGCTTGATCGTCGTTGCTCCTGACTTGGTGCCACTGCATTACTCAAGTTCCTTTGAATCCTGCAAAATCCCTGTTTCCCTGTTCTCTGTTTTCCCTATGTACCCTGTCTGTCTGTTTGCCTTTTCCCCAGGTTCACTCACCTCTGTCCACCGTCATGTTAGCTGGGCTTGCTTACCTGCCCTCTCCCCTCAGGCGTCTTCCACAGCGTCCTCTCAGCTCCCCCCTCGCTCCTCGCCAGTATGCCTGCCACCACACTCCTTCTTCCATCCCTCCAGTCAGTTCTCCTGGGCCTCTTCTCCTTCTCGGTCCTCTGTTCCTCTTGGGTCCGTTCTGTCCTGACTCACAACAGAACGATCAAGCCAACATGGTCCCATGGACTCTGTGTTGACATTTGTACATGACACTGGGGTGCGGACGGTCGACCCTCCCATCTGTTAAGTCAGCTAAGTTGAGGCTGAAACACTTTACTCCAGGGTGATCAGTCACCGGCTGACTCAGGTCCCAGACAAACTTTGCCAAACCATCCCACTACTGACAACAAATGTAATGGAAATATGTCCTTTTTAGTAAGTCTTCTGAAATAAAGAATTCAATCCAGACTTCTTTTAAGACAGGGCCCTCTCACACCACATCCACTTTGCAAATTGTTTTTTACACTGCTGGGAGCAAGTGGGTTTTGTATTGAGGCTCTACTGGTTCTTACTGCAGCACGCTTATATGCCTCTGGTGTTTGACACGGTGTGGAGGAGAGATGTTCCAGGCTTGGAACCTACATTTCACAGGCATATGGTGTGGATCAATGTAGGCTTAGCATCCAGAAACCCTGATCATCAGCAAATACATTATAATTACATACACAGGGTATATTTAACTCCTAGGAAACTTCATTTGACGAAGGTTATTAATGATCCTACGTGCACTTTCTGTTCCTCCAATGTGATTGGCAGTTTTTTTCACCTGTTTTGGGAGTGTACCCCAGTGGCTAAATTTTGGAAGATGGTTGCCTTTAACCTGTCTAAGTTGTTTGAGATTAGATTGCCCTGTTGGCCTGCTACACTCATTTTGAATGTTTTGTCAAGGCTGAGTTTGACACTGGATAAGAGAAGAGCATTGTTGGCTGGACTCACAGCTGCAAAGAAAATAGTTGCCACATGTTGGAAAACTCCACATTCTCTCTCTTCAAGCTTGATTCTTTACATATTTGGATATTGCCAATTTAGAGATGTGGACAGCTAGAATCCACGGAGCAAAAGAGTCAGCAATACAGGCTTGGCATTCACTCTTAGCTATCGTCCGTGGGTTTCAGATGTAATATGTGACTGAGATATGGAGTTCTGGATCCAGGGAGTGGGTGTTTTTTTTTTTTCTTCTTTCATTATTATTATTTTTATTTTAGTAATTTAATTATATGTATCTGTATATGTGCGTATGTATAGGTGTGTGTGTGAATATATCTTTACGCTCTATTTTTGTAAAGTACATATGCCTATATGTATTTTTCCTTGAAACAAAATAAAAACTTCACAAAATCACACACACAAAAAAAATGTGGCTATTCATTCCTGGTCTTACACAAGGCATGTCTAAGAAAGGCCATTATCTTCCTCTCTTTCTCTGTTGTATGAATCGGCCAGAGTGAAAGACTCTGAAGTAACAAAATGCTACTTCCACATTTGCTTCAAAATAAAGTCCTTAATTGCAAATGAACCATAACATAACCGTGTCAGAAATGAATGAGATTTTTTGGGACTTAGGCTGAATAACCAATTGTACTAGGGTCATACAAGGTAGTTTATTTATCACTATATAACACAAGGTTGTATAACAAAAAGAAAATTTGTAGTCTCTTCATGCTACACACAGAGAACAGATAATTAATTCAGAGTCACTGTGTGGTTAATGGTGATTTTGATTTATTTGCAAATGCAGCTAAAGGACAATATAACTCAATTATATATAATAAGAGGCGTCAGGTGCCTCCTGTACTGCTGTAGCAAAAAAAACCCCAACATAATCTTGGCAGTCCACGTTTGCTCATACTGCACATCACTTATTTTGTTACTTTGTGATCTGATATTTGCATTCTGAATTTCATCACACAGATAATTTAAGTTAATTTACCGTTTCTATTTCTTTGTCAATCATTCAATTTCATATTGTTTCCAGTTTTTGCATGCATGTCACACAAGGAAAGTGTGCTTTTATTTCTTAGAGCGAAATTACCTGTTTTCCGGTGTCGTTCTGGCTAGCTGTGGTTAACTTGTCGCAGTTTACTTACCGCAGGCTTGCGCACTTGAAGCCCCCATATTCACGCACACGCGCGCACACATTCCAGCAGTGACTGTGTTGTGACCGCCTTGCTTCCAGAAACGGACGTGCTTTTGGATGTACGAGCCGGCGTCTCCGTTCAGCGATGGTGTGAAGAGCTGCTGGAGGCAGGCTAGGCTTCGAACCGTGGATTCAGGTTCGAGCGCGTGACGGGCTCAGAATTCAACAGCTTCTCAGTTCTACCGCTGCCTGTTGACGAATGACTCACACCGGTAAGAAGTAACGCCGTTGATGAAACCGTGCGTTTTGTAATGTTACATCACTTACGTTCATTTCGCTCTCAGCTGCATTGGCGTTAATGTAAGCTTCACCAGCAGCCATTATATGTGGAATTCTCGTGCGTGGGGAAATTCACGCTGCTGTCCCCTTTTTACATTTTTGTAAAATGCCCCTTTCATTTAGGTAGGCTACAAGTTAAAGTTTCTGGATTGATTGACGCTGTGACAGCTCGCTACGGCCCAGCTATTTTTATGGAAGACAATATTATCGACAAGAAGCAACGCCAGCCAAAGCATTATGAACGAGTGTGCAGTGGTCTAATGTATGGCGACATGTTTTCTTGACGGAGGTATTGAGGAATCACCCATGATACAGGGTTTGGGGCAATAGCTTTGAAAGTAATCTCGTAAATAGTCGGACTTATGACATTTGTACCAAGACACTCAAGACACCATAACGGGGTCCCCAACACACACTGTTATACCTCCTTGATGCTGTCGGGTTGAATGTGCATATGCGGACGGCACTAGCACAGCTTGATGGAGGGTTGCTATGGAGGAAAGATGCAGACAATTAGCCTAGCCCGATGAAATCTAATAGGCGCATGTGATGTCAGAAGTGCAGTGTGGTGGGGATGTGCACTCTGTACCTTCCGCCTCAGTAAGTTGTGAGCTCAGAGGAGCTAGCCTCAGTTGTCGCCTGTGGCTGAGGATGAGAGGACGAACAGATCCCAGCATGTTCCTAATTCAAGAAAACCAACTTGTAATGTTAACAATGTGGTCAGAGTTTATTCTGTTTTTAATAATAACTTAACCCAAAGACACTTTACAGAATTCCCTATGTGGCAAAACAATATATGTGTGTGTGTATGTGTGTGTGTGTATATATGTGTATATATATATGTATGTGTGTGTGTGTGTGTGTGTGTGTGTGTGTATATATATATATATATATATATATATATATATATATATATATATATATATAAGTTTCCAGAATGTGGTGAACAGAAGGTGTTGGAGATTTTTAAACTTGTCCAGGGATGAAGCGTTGTGGATTTCTGCGGTGAGGGCATTCCAGGGGGTCGGGGCTGCAATACTTAAGGCTTTGGTACTGTGAGGCAAGGGCATGGAGGGATTTATACGTGAGAAGGAGGATTTTGTAGTTGATTTGGGACTTGATTGGGAGCCAGTGAAGGTGGATGAGGGTTGGGGTGATGTGCTGCCAGTCTTGGTGCGAGAGAGGACGCTGGCAGCAGAGTTTTGGACATATTGGAGCCTGTCCAGGGATTTGCTGGGGACCCCCATTAAGGACTCCATTGCAGTAGTCCAAACTATCCATAAATGCATCACCATACAAAGTGATGAATTACTTAGATGATATGATACGAATCATTTTTGTGTGGTGCTCATTTAAGTCAAAGTTATAATAATGGATAATAATTAATAATTAAACTTCACAGGGCCACCCTATACAGAAAACAAGGACACACCCCCTAAAAACAGGCAAGAAAGACTCACACAGGTGGTGGTAGTAGTAGTAGTAGTAGTTCTAATGAAAAAATTAGAGTAAATCGAACATTTATTCCTGAAAAGGCAAGTTGCTTTTGACTCAATTGACAGACATTTAATTGCATTAGGAATTATTATTATTGGGGCCCGAGCACGAACCGTGCAAGGTCCCTATTGAAACTGAAGGGATTATTAGGGTCGAGCACGAAATGTGAGGTACCTGTTAAAAGTGAAGGGATTATTAGTATTTCGACTTCAAATTTTCCCTGTGCAGTCTAAACCCATTGACTCTTTAAACCAGTATTTATTACCAGTCGACCAGTTTGCCCGTGGCGTACTGTCAAAAATCCATGATTCGTTCCCAGGGTTTCCTGGGACAGTTTTGAACTTGGTATGTCCAACCTGCTAGGAGTAGTAGATTACAGCGTAAAACGTGTCATTTCCTGTTGCCAGCAGGTGGTGCTATGACTTTGATGGAATATTGGCATGTGGATGTGTTTAGGGTGTGAGTATTATAATGCATCCCAAATTTGGTGCAGATGTGAGCATGTCGACTGAAGTTATAACAACTTCCTGTTTTATGACGAATCATTGATTTTGGACGCCACTCCACAAAAATTCACCGTTTCTACAACTTTTAATCGTCAATGGGTTTTGACTGCACAGCAAAAATCTCTGACTAAATCCCTAGGAGGAGCTAGTTAAAGTACGGAGTGTGTAAATCATCCAAAAATTGCCATAAAATTCAAAATGGCTGACTTCCTGTTTGGTTTAGGGCATCGCTCCAACAGGGTATAGGCAATAATCCTTGCTTAACACTCCCCAGGTGCTCCGAGCTCGCAATACGGGCAGAGGAAGGTAATTTGACCAGTGGTTGCACAGCTAACTGAGCTAAACAGCAGCTAGTTAGCTGTTAACTAACTTCAGCAACAAGTAAAGCTATCTGTCTATCAGTAAACTCTGTGAATCACAGAGTTGAGGCACAGCAGCAGGGGGACATCAGAGAGAAAACTAGAAAATATTTTCCCCATATTTCTAATATTTCTCCATCAAATATGATCCAGTTTCACCAAAATCTGTGAAGTTGTTTTTGTAAAGTTATCAGTGGGGCCTGGTCCCAGAAACACTGCTTCAGCAGCATTATATTGAGAAATCTTTTCATGGGACGCCAAATTAATACAAGTGCAGAATGAGTCATCAACATTTTAAAATGCTTTTCCAAATGAGAAACTCTTAAATATCATCAAGAATACCTACAAAACATTTGTCATTTTGGGAATCGGAGATTATTCTATGTTTCTCTAAAAATACACTGAGCAGAAAACACATCATTGATTCTCTTCTTGTCTCCATTTGCCTATTTGGCATTGAAGTAATCCAAAAGTAATTAAAGTAATTAGTTTACATTACTTTTATTTTGTGGTACTTGGATTACATTACTGATTACATTTTTTAAGTAATCCTCCCAACCCTGTCTGCTGGGCACTCTTTCTTATTTTGCCTCCTGGCCCTCTTAGAGGACTTCAGCAGTGGAGACAGGGAGGTTGCTGCATGGAGATGGTATTCTTGATACAATTCTGTGCCGAAAATCTCCTCTCACACTGAGCCAAAGAGATTGGCAGCACGAGCAGTATTTCAGTCAAGAGTAGGAAGTTCTGAAAAAGAATCGGAGAGATCAGATGAAGGAATAAGATAAGGGAACATTTAGAAATGTGTGAAAGTTAAAACTCTGAAGATGTTGTAGATTAATTAAAATACACATCTAATGGTTGTACCTCTCTATTTAGGCCTAAATCTGTAAGACCTATATCAAGTACAGACTTTACAATTCTAACATGAGAATTTGCAATCCGAAATATATTACCTTCTTAGCCTTTCCTTTCACATCAGCAGAGGCAGAGGATGGAGACGTGTGGCTCATGTGCTGCAGGGTTGCAGCATACTGGCCACTGTGCTGTTCATCCTGTCCAGCTGGTCTGAGTATGGCGGGTGGATTGTGCCACGGATAACCTACCAAAGGAGACCGTCGTGTGACAGCTACGTGTGTGGATAGGCTACTCCGTCGCCAGTGAACAACGTTGTTGATAAGCCCGTCGCCGTCAGGCTTGTTTTTTTCCCCTCAAACTTGTTCTTCTTTTCTCTTTTTTTTATTGGTGGTTGGCAAACTAGCCGAGAAGTGCATTAGCGCCACCAACTGGACTGGAGTGTGGAACCAGAGATTATTTTCAATACAAGGACTACAGGCCTACATGCTCCAGCCTTTTTGTCATTAAAAGTGTTGCTGTAAAATTAAATTTTACACAGAAATTTAAAAGGAGGGTAATCTAATGGATATAATATTTATCAAAGATATTAATCAACTTAATTTTGTAAGTTATGTCAGCTGAGAAGTTTACAGCAGAAACTTGAAAATTAATTAAATATTACATTGAGTGTGTTTTTACATTTATTCATTAATAGACTATAGCTCTAACTTCAAAAATATAACTGGTAATATTTGTAATTTAATTGAGTAGCCTATAGGCCATGAAATTATGCTATATTGTTGTATTATAGATATCAGGGACAACTTGAAGTTCTAGCCTCCCATCTTTAATTTTTTTTAACTGGCATGATGTTTACTTTTGGGTCTATTCTGTAGATTAAAATTGTGCTTTTATCATTTACTTTGTGTACCCAACTGTCATTTATAATATAAAAAATAGACCAACACCAAGCTACATGTTTTATTTACATCAATGTTTTCCTCATATTTGATGCTGCCATAAATGTTTTGTTTTTCAACAGTTAACCATTTTAAAAACACAGCTTGAGAGGCAGTTTAATTGAGTCACGGTGGCGCTGCAAATTCAAACATGAGAACCAATCAAAAGCATCAGAACAGCAACAAACTTTACTAAACAACTGTGGCTGGAAATGGCAAAGGAAGACAATGTGCACATGAAATGCACGCAAAGCAACAAAATGAATATTATTCAACATATAGCCAAGCTTTTTAAAGAAAATATTCAGATGGCATCTTAAGCATTTTCATAAGAAATTGTGATTTAATTACATATTTTACCAGTCGGCCTAACTGTAACAGATAACACTTACATTTACGTTTGTCTACAGTTGAACATTAAATGGTGTTCTTGGTATAGAATCATGGGAGCTTTATATTTATATGAGCATTAACAATAAGCTATGCAGAGTGGGAAATTACGTTTGAATCATTGTATAATAGTATGCTGGTTTCTCTTAGCGTAGCATCCCGATGGAAAATGAAGAACTTCACTGAGGATCTTAAGATTTTTAATTTGGTGTTTTGTACTTCAACAACAATGTAATTGCTAAAAAAACAAAAAGTGCAGATATAAGGTAACATATTATCTTATAACTCCTTTAGGATTACATTGATTAGTAATGCATTAGCATGATCAAAATAATCCAAATCATTATGCAGAAATATACATTTAAAATACATTGCCAATAAAATAACC